CTACTACTACTACTACTACTACTACTACTACTACTACTACTACTACTACTACTACTACTACTACTACTACTACTACTACTACTACTACTACTACTACTACTACTACTACTACTACTACTACGACTACGACTACGACTATAGCTACCACGGCTACCACGGCTACTACTACTACTACTACTACTACTACAAATACTACTACTACGACTACTAGTACGAGGACTAGTCCTACTACTACGAATACTACTACTACTACTACTACTACTACCTCCACTGCTACTACTACTACTACTACTACTGCTACTACCACTACTACCACCACCGCTACTACTACTACTAGTAGTACAAGCACTACGACTACGACTACTACTACTACTACTACTACTACGATGACGGCGGCGACGACGACTACGGCTACTGCTACTCCTACTGCTACTGGTATGGCTGCTACTACTACTACTACTACTACTACCAGTACTACCATTACTAATTCCACTAATCATACTGCTGGTACTACTACTACTAGCACTACTACTGCTACCACTATTACCACCACCACTACTACTACTACTACTACTACTACTAGTACTATTGGCACTACTACTACTACTACTACTACTACTACTACTACTACTACGACGGCTATTAGTACTACTACTACTACTACTACTACTACTACGACTTCTACTACTACTACTACTGCTACTACTACTACTACTATTACTACTACTACTACGACTACTACTACTACTACGACTACTACTACTACTACTGCTGCTACTACTACTACTAATACTACGAGTACTACTACTACTACTACTACTACTACTACTACTACTGCTACTACTGCTACTACTACTATTACTGCTACTACGACTACGACTAATACCACTACTACTACTACTACTGCTACTACTACTACTACTGCTGCTACTACTACTACTGCGAGTACTACTACTACTACTACTACTACTATTACTACTACTACTACGGCTAGTACTACTAGTAATACTACTACTACTGCTACTACTACTACTACTACTACTACTACTAGTAGTACTACTACTACGGCTACTAATACGGCTTCTACTGCTACGACGGTTAGTACTAATACCACCACCACAACCATTACTACTACCACTACTACGACTACTACTACTACTACTACTACTACTACTGTTACTGCTGCTGCTGCTGTTGTTACTACTACTACTACTACTACTACTACTACTACTACTACTACTACTACTACTACTACTACGAATACTACTACTACGACTACTACTACTACTACTACTACTACTACTACTACTACTACTACGACTACCACCACTACTGCGACTTTTACGATTACGATTGCTCCTATCACCACCACAACAGCTACCACTACGACTACTACTACCACCACCACTACTACTACTACTACTACTACTACTACTACTACTACTACTACTACTACGACTGCTACTACTACGACTACGACTAATACTACTACTACTACTACTACTACTACTGCTACTACTTACTACTACTTACTACTACTACTACTACTACTACTACGGATACTACTACTACTACTACTACTGCTACTACTACTATTACTACTACTACTACTACTAATAATAATAGTAATACTGCTACTATTCGTGCTACTACTATTGCTACTACTTCAACTACTACTACGACTGCTACTACTACTACTACTACTACTACAAAAACTACTACTACTACTACTACTACTACTACGCCTGCTACTACTACCGCTACTACCACTGCTGCTACTACTACTACTACGACTACTACTATTACTACTACTACTACTACTGCTACTACTACTACTACTACTTCTACTACTCCTGCTACTCCTACTACTACTACTACTACTACTACTACTAGTAATACTGCTGCGACTGCCGCTACTACCGCTACTACGACTACTACTGCCGCTACTACTGCTGCTACTGCCACTACTACTACCGCTGCTACTACTACTGCTGCTGCTACTACTACGACTACAGCTGCCACTGCTACTGCTGCTGCTGCTACTACTACTTCTACGCCTACTACTACTACTACTACTACTACCACTACTACTACTACTACTACTACTACTACTACTACTACTACTACGACTACTACTACTACTACTACTACTACTACAACTACTACTACGGCTACTACTACCTACTACTACCCTTTCTACTACTGGTACGACAACGGCTACCACTACCACTACCACTACGACTGCCGCCACCACTGCCGCTACTACGGCGGCTGCTACGACTGCGACTACGTGTACAACTACGTCTGCGACTGCTGCTGTTACTACGACTGCTACGACGACGACTGCCACGACTACGGCTACGACTACGATTACGACTACTACGGCTACTACTACTACTACTACTACTACTACTACTACTCTACTACTACTACTCTACTACTACTACTACTACTACTACTACTACTACTACTGCGACTACTACGACTACTAGCACTACTACTACTACTACTACTACTACTACTACCACCACTACTACTACTACTACCACGGCTACTACTGCTACTACTGCGACTACTACTGCTACTACTACTACTATCACGACGACGACTACGACTACTACTACTACTACTACTACTACTACTGCTACTACTAAAACTACTACTACTACTACTACTACTACTACTACTACTACTGCTACTACTTCGGCTACTACTACTACTACCCCTACTACGACTACTACACATACGATTGCGACTATGCTTGCTGCAGCTGCTTCTGCTACTCGTACGACTACTACTGAGGCTACGACTACTACTACTACACCTGCTGCTGTTACTGCTACTGATATTGCACATGCTGCTAGTAGTACTACTACGACTACGGCTCTGACTACCACTACTACTATCACTGCTGCCACGGCTACTACTACTACTTCCACTCCCGCTGCTACCAGTAGTAGTGTAGTACCACTACTACGAGTAGTACCACTACTGCTGCTACTACTAGTACTACTACTACTTCTACTACTACTAGTATTACAACAACTACGACTACTGCCAGTAATACAACTACTACTATTACTACTACTACTACTACTACTACTACTACTGCTACTACTACTACTACTACTACTACTACTACTACTACATTACTACGGTTACTACTACTACTACTACTACTAATACTACTACTACTAATAAGACTTCGACCGCGACCACTACGACTACCCCTACGACGACGACGACGACGACGACGACGACGACGACGACGACGACGACGACGACGACTACTACTACTACTACTACTACTACTATTATTACCACTACTACTACGGCTACGACTACGACCGCGACTACCACTGCAACCGCTAATACACTACCTACTACGACTTCAACTACTACGGCTACCACTACTACTACCACTGCGGCTACTACAACAATTACGAACACTACCGCCGCCACAACCACTACTACTAACACTGCTATTTCCCCTGCGCCTGCATCGGCTATTACGGCTACGATTACTGCTGGCACCACCGCCACAACCACTACGACTACTACGGCTACTACGACGTCTACTACGACCTATACTACGACCTCTACCACCACTACTACTACTACTACTACTACTACTACTACTACGACTACTACTACTACTACTACTACTACTACCACTACTACTACTACTACTACTACGACTACTACTACTACCACTACCACTACTGCGACTACTACTGCGAATACTACCACTAGTACTACTACTACTACTACTACTACTACTGCTACTACTACTACTACTACTACTACTACTACTACCACGACGACGACGACGACTACTACTACTACTACTGCTACTGCTACTACTACTAACTACTACTAACTACTACTACTACTACTCCTACTACTACTACTACTACTACTACTGCAACTACGACTACTACTACAAGTACGATTGCCACACTACTACTACACATATTTCTACGACTTTTACAGTAACGAGTACTACTACGACAACTGCTACAACTACGACTGCGACCACTACTACGACTACTCCTACTACCACCACTACGTCTACTACTACTCCTACTACGCCGGCGGCTACAAATACTACTACTACTACTACTACTACTGCTGCTACTACTACTACTACCACCACGCCTACTGCTAATACCATATCTCGTATTAGAACTGCGACGACTACTACGACGACAACAAATACTACGACCACTGCGGCTGCGACGACATTTACGGCTCTACTACTACTACTACTACTACGGCTACTACGACTACTGCTGCTACTGCTAATACGACTGCAACTACTACTACTACTGCTGCTACTATTACTACAAATATTACTACTACTACTACTACTACTACTACTACTACTACTACGACTACTAATACTACTACTACTACTACTACTACTACTACTACTACTACTACGACTACTACTACTACTATGACTACTACTTCTACGCCCACCACTACCACTACTACCACGACTACGGCTACTACTATTACTACAACAACTACTACTACTAGTACTACTACTACTACTACTACTACCATTACGACTTCTATTGCTATGCTACTACTACTACTACTACTACTACTACTACTACTACTACTACTACTACTACTACTAGTACTACTAGTACTACTACTAGTACTACTTCTACTGGTACCACTACTACTGCTACTACGAATACTATTCTGGCTACTTCTACTACTACTACTACTACTACTACTACTACGACTACCACTACAACTACTACTTGTACTTAATATGTCTACTTCTACTACTACTACTACTACTGCTACTGCTACTACTACTTCTACTACCACTACTACTACCACTACTACTACTACCAATACTACTACTATTACTAGTACTACCACTGCTAGTGCTGCTACTACTACTACTGCAACTACTGCTACTACGACTACTACTATGACTTCTACGACTACTACTACTACGACGACGACTACGAATACCACAT